AGCATTTTCTGGAGCTTTCAACCACATCTCACAGACTTCCTCAACGATTGGAGTTCACTCAGTCGTTGTGCTGATATATCATTATGTGACCTAAGAATGGAACTCGGGTCACATATTGACCCGTGTCTTTGTTCAAAGAGCCAAAAAAGATTGTAAAATGGAGTTGAAAGCTCCATAAAGGCTAGTAAGTGGACCTTGAAAAAACTTTTTTTGTCAAATATATCAAGTGCAGATACAGGGGTTTCCTTTGTGACCAATGATAACTGAGTTATCTCCATGACGACTGAGGAAACCCCATCCTCTTAGACCTTGAGTTCAGTCAGACAACTCACGTGTGTAATTCTTATTGCAGCAGTACATCATAGTTAGAGTTTGGCGTCCAGGCTCGGACCTCATCACTCCCAACAGATGGGTTTACATAGAGATATTGAGGAGTGATGAGCAAATATCTTAAACCCCTTCTGGCTAGGAAGCCTGCGTGTGGATGCTGGGGTTGTGGTGGGGTTTAAAGAACAGGCAGCAGTACCGATGCAGGGCAGCAGTGGCATTGACACAGCAGAGGGAGAGATGGAAAATTTTGCAGCTTTAATAGACCTGCCAATTGGGATGGTGTGTTTGGTTTATGATCAAGATTCAGTGTAGCTCAAGTTGACTGAACTAGCTGGCATGCATCGCTCCATATGTGGTTGAAAGTTCCAGAATAGGCTAGTAAGTGGACCTTGAGTTCAAATTTTTCTTATGGTAAAGAATATTGTTGTTTAAATTGTTATATTTTTCAATATTGTCATAGTTCATGTTGCAAACCAATGTTACATGTTAGATCTTCATGGCCAAAGTATTAGAGTCTGTTTTATGTACTGTATCATCTTAGTTTAACTCTGCTGTCGGTGAAATATAGGGTAAAATAAAAGAGACAAAAGTAGCACAGATACTGAATTCTTCAAATTTTATATTTGGATATGCTGTAGGGTGATGAAGATCTGAAGGTCTCAACGGGAGGGAAGTGTAAGAGAGCGCTTACGAGGCTGTGCTGCTAGTTCATAAAAAGGTGCTGCAAAGACATTTCTGCAATAAGACTTCATTGATATGTTAAGAAAAGAAAGTGACAGCACAGCATGTTGCCCAGGTAACAGACCCAATATAGACCATGTAAAATATTACATACTTACATAATGTGAATATAGTCTTAGACGATCAATTGATTGAAAAGATAATATGAAATATATGAAAAAAGTATAGCTTATTTGTTTTGCAAGTCATTTTCTCAACCACAGCCATCGTCTGCTCTTGTGAGCCGCGGGTGATGTGCTGTTGTTGTGCGATTTTAATGGGACAAATATCATTGTCTGTATGGTGAAAGTTGTAAAATGTTATATATGATGAAAATATGCAAATGTTTCACTGTGAAACAAAGGAAACATGTTAACATTAAAGGAATAGTTTGATAGTTTAGGAAACGCTGTTATTTGTTTTCCTGCTGAGAGATAGATAGGAAGATTGCTACCACTCTCATGTCTGTACATTCAATAATATTATATACAGCCAGCAGCAAGTTAGCTTAACACAAGGGTTTGAAACAGGGGAAATGGCTAGCCTTGCTAATTAACACATGGTATATTGTTTGTTTAATCTGTAAAAAAAAAATCTTTTCCCAAAAGAAATACATTTCACATAAACTCAAAATATAGCCCTGGTAAGTGCAGTAATTTTCACATCTATTACATGTGACACAACCCATTGTGGGATTGCTAGCAAAATTCTACCATACATGCCAGGGACACTAGTTTTTGTTCCATTGTGAGCATTAAACTGGGGGCATATTGTGCTTACATGTCACGCTCAGAATTTAGACACTCAAATAAAATGGCGCACAGTTAATGTAGTACATGTTGTAGTAAAAAGGGATTAATTTTGGACACAGCCATTCAAAAACTGGATTCTTTTAGTCACCATAGCAACGACCTATGATGTTGCACCAGAATAACACAAACACATGACTAAATGTTCCCTTCTCCTCCCCGACCCCACTTCTTCTCTTCAAGATCCCGCAGATCAGTTATGCGTCAACGGCCCCGGAATTGAGTGACGACAGGCGTTATGACTTCTTCTCACGGGTGGTTCCTCCAGACTCATTCCAGGCCCAGGCCATGGTGGACATTATCCGAGCCCTGGGCTGGAGTTACGTCTCCACCATCGCCTCAGAGGGAAGCTATGGAGAGAAGGGAGTGGAGGCCTTCACACAACTCTCTAAAGAAGCAGGTAAAGAAAGGTGATCAGTGATGGTCACTGAACAGAATAATAACCTTCTTTTGTTGGTTTGTTTCTATGATTTAAACATGCACTCGAATTTCACAAGAGCAAGATCAGTTTTGCATTTGCAATTTATTGTAAAAATCTGTTTTGGGTGGATGAATTATTGATCTGTTTGGCAACTTCTGCTTCAGTCCCCCAGTGAGTTGTGGAGTGTTACTGGAAATGTAGTGAAACAGCTTGTAGAGAGGATGCCACGTCACAATATAGAGCACAGCCTGTACCCGCGTCACAATTTTTAAAATATAACCATTGCATCTTTTTGCGGGGTACACAGTAATTGTTTGAAAATGTCTAATGTATTCTCTTTAGCCAACAGAGACGAGAGAGAGCGGTCTGGCAACTGGTCATTCAAGAGACATGGGGTTTGCTTTACACTCTGCCTTTCCTGTTTCACTCAACCTAATTTTTTTCATCCCTGCTAGTGATAAAAAAGGGCTGGGCTGGCAGGGCTGGTAATGATGGGCAGTCAGCTTTGTGGTCAGTCAGTTCAAACCACTCTGGTTTGGTTGTGGGTATGAAGCAGCAAGGTTTTAAATATTTAGTCGTTTCAGAGAAGAAGCTGGTCTTCTTTGGTAAATGTCTCTAGACATTTCTCTTGGAAACCATATGATTAAACAGAGAGAGTCGAACCACTGAATGGTCTAGAAAACAAGCTATTAGAATCAGTCTTGTTTGTTGGGTCCTGTAATGTAACATTAATGGTGATTGTTTAAAGTGGCAATGATCTTTTTTCAGGCTTAACAGCTAAGTTGTTTGGGTTTTGAGAGGTTAGAATAAGGATCTTGAAGAGTAATTACAACATAAATTTGCATTCAGAGAAGGTGTTGGGGTTTTGCCTGTAACTGGCCTGAAAATCGTGCACATGCTTGACTCACCTGCTTTTTCCACATTGATGCTGTTGTTGGCATGTGGTGGTAAATGTGAATCAGCAGTCACTGCTGTCGCCAGGAGACGCTCAGTTGCTGTACAGTACAACGGCTATCTTTGTCAAATCATGTGGCTTACTGTGCTGTGCTTTAGAGCTGTGCTGTAGGGACTTTCCAGTTGGAGCTGCAGCATTTCGAAAAGATCAGGAAATGCATACATTTTTACAGCACGGTCAGTTTGAACTGACTGACCGTGAATGCAAGAATGTATTTAATGCACAAAAAGTGGAAATAGCTGTGTGTCCAGAACTTCGATCCCTTTTCCATCTCTGTGAAATAATCACTTGGATGGATGTTATCTGGGCTGGAAAAAATACCATTCCATGATCCTTGATGGCACATCCATGCAACTCATGACAACAGGAGCAAGTATTTTGCTGCTTCTAACCTCGACTTCGATGGATCCCAATCCATTTCCTGTAAATCTGCAGGGAGTGATCTCTGTCTCTTCTAACAGACTAATGTGCGGAAACCTCTAAAATGGGGAAAGCTAATGATATCCCACAGGCACCAATCACAAGTCCAGCATGCATGAATATTTTATCTGTGTGCATTCGTGTCCAGTGTGATCACTCATTAAAACTTTAGGAAGCTGTTTGTGGCCGTGTAATTTGCATCGACAGAGAGAAAGGGAAAGTAGCCTGTGTAGGAACGAATAAGGAAAAGTCTTTATTTAAGACTTATTTTGGAAGTTTCATTCATCTTATATCCTGTAATAAACACAGTTCCTACAAGCTGGTTTTCTGAGATGCATTTTCCACTGATGTTTATTTTTTTCTCTTGCAAAGCGCAGTAAACACACTGATATTATTATGACTCTTGAACAGCTACACAAGGAGTATGAAATTATAAGCCATTGTTGTTGTTGACTCATCTTGTTGCTACTGAGCTGCAGTCACTTTGCAGTATTTCGTATTCATATACAAATGGGAATTATTTCCTCTAAAGGAAAGCTTCCAGTACCCAAGGCATCTTATCTTTAATAAACACATTAATTATGTAATAGCATAACTGTACATTCACAGGATTCATTCAAAGGCACCGGTTCTGCACCAGGGCTGCCGGGAATGAATTGAATGGCATAAAAAGTAAACATCTTACTGAATATGGAAAGAGAAAATATCTAGAAAATACTGTTAGTGTGTTGTGAATAGATATATTAAACCCACATTAGTGTCTAGAAATTGCCAAACTGCAGAACAACAACAACATTGTTGGGTGGATGTTGCAGCATCGATGCAAGCTGATCCTTGAGGCCCTGAGACGTTTTTTTGTGGCTGCCCTGTTTGGTTGCTGTGAAATGTCAGATGCATTAGTAGGATTCTCGCTTCACCACTTCAAGGAGAACCATCTAGCGGACTAATGCAATATGGCTGCCCATTACCCCAAGCTGAGACTGGAGTGATGGTCAGCCTGTATTGATCTCTTCTGTTTTTTTCTATTGTTTTTTTGCTCTGCTTTCTCTCCCCTGTTTAGGCACTGTTCCATTCTGCACCTTCATTCTGGCTCCAGGTGAAGCTGGCAGAGATTAATCTTGTTTGTATTTTTCTGTGTCTGTCTGGACTCAGGCCAGAGCGATGGAGTTCAGTTTTCCCATTTGATAAAAAGACTCACATTTGAGGAAAACCACCCACAAAGTATCACTGTGGAATTGATTGCAGCGAGTTGCCAACACGATGCATTTTTAGATCTAGTCTGAGCTGTGAGGGGGGAAAAAAAATCTCCCAGTAAAATATAGCACTCACGTTTAGCAGTAGGAGAGGACTGGGGAGGAAGCCATACACACCATAAAATAAACCACGATATTAGTGCATGACCCTTCGACATTGCCAAGTCTCAGACCAACAGTGGAAAAGCACACAGGATATGGAAGGGCACACAGATGTAGAATATGAATGTCAGCTGCATGTTAGCCCATTTTGATGTGCTCCTATGTGTTCCAGCGGGGAGACTCTGGAGGGAGCAGGTCTGCCTTGTGACTGTCGAGGTGATAAATATAATTGCAGCATTACGGATCCCCTGGAGGTTTGGGTTTGGAGGGTGTTGAGTCGGCGGGTGGGGGGTCGAATCCATCAAGAGCCTCTAATTTAAAGGGATTTGTATTTCACTAAGCAAAATGGCGAAGCTGGATTCCTCACCCTGGAGTGCATTTTCAAAACCGAGGGCATTGAGGATGAATAATTGAAGCAGTTAATGCAGTGCATGACCTGTGGCACTCAGGCAGATAAGCGGAGAACTTCCAAGAGCTTGATGAATTTGGCCATCGTGATCATTAAGCTGTCTTTGATATATTAATACAATGTAGAGCAGAGGGTAGAGGTTCACAGCACCTATAGTTTTGATATTATGTGTGGGATCATAAGTAAATTAATAAAGTGCAGCTAAAACTTTCAGTCTTAAAAACCAACACATCTTCTATTTGAGTATGTAGACAAAACAAACTTGTATTTCTACTATAAGGGCTGGGTTACCAATGCATACAACTAGTTGTCCAAGAACATTGGAATCTGTTTAGAATTGACCCGTCTTAAGTCCTCAGGTCAACCTTCTACTTTCCTGTACTCAGTTATGCCGCTATGTGCTAGGCTTGTCTATGTTGAAAAGACAATGGCATTTTGAATATAGTTAAAAGATAAAAGAGGCTATATATAGCCACATCTTACTTTTATTAACATCAGCTTTCAAATGTAACTAGCTAGCTAACGATTGATGTAGATTAACTAGCAGTGTGACTGCTCTAATCTGTTAAGACACGCCGCAGACGTAGGCGGTGTGAACCACGGCTAATGTGACAATATATATGTCACTTAACCATCTTCGGAATGCGGTCGCTTTTCAACACAAGTACAGGAAAGGAGTTGACTGAGATTCTGACCGAGGCTCGCTCAACTGTTATTAGAGCACAGAGCAAAAAGGATTGGGATTTAGGAAGGTTCAGTTGTGTAAATATGGGGATAACTGCGCACATAACAGCCTCTCCTGGAAGACCAGGCCAGAAATAGTTTTATAACGAATAATATACATTATACATTATTATTCACATCAGAAAGGTGTGAAGGGAGGGGGTTTCAAAAGCTGTTCGACCATCTAACAAGCGGTTCTGATGAAGTATACTGGCGCTGTAACATAGCCAGTAGGCAAAGTGTTACTATACAATCCCATTTCTCGGATAAGACTTCAACGAGTTGGAGTAAAACACTCTCTTCTCCCAAAGCCTGACATTCATCCGTCTCACATCACACATCTCCAGCCAAGACAGACATGCGGCTGTTCTTTAAACCCACTGTTTGAGTCGAGGACTCTTTCAAGTCCACACAATGCCTTCCAGTGACAGGTGAAGGCGGTCCAACTCACAGCACAGTACTCTGGAAGTACAGATACAATACTTGCATTTCCATCGTGCCTGCCTCCCTGACTAACTGACTGACTGACCACCTGACTGACTGACAGATGAGGTATTCTGCAGGCATTCAATAATTTAGCCACCGGTCCGCAGTCTGTAGGGCAGCTTTAAGCCGGCAGCACATTCTGCTCTGGTGCTCGCGCTCTCTGAAGATGGGATCTGCTCCAAGTGCTTCTTATCTTCATCAGTGGCTCCTGTGGTCTCTGTCTGTATTATTGACTGTTGTGACCTATAATATATCTCTGTTCAAGACTGTTACACCATTATAACTCTCCACACAAGCCTGCAGGGTTTTTCTTTTCTTTTTTTTTCATAATGGAGTTAATACATTTTCATGAGATTTAAATTCTCTACAAAAAAATGTCATCTCTGGAATTAATGTGCGTGTGATACCTGGAACGGAAGGGTGCTGCTAATACACCACAATCAGATATTATGCAGTGCTAGAGTCTCTTTCCCTAAAAGAAACCTGGAAGTGTGTCATACTGTAGGCTTTCTGGCTGAAATCAACTAAAATCTCTGTGCTGAGACAGAGCTTTAGTGGCGTCCCTTGGAGACTGACAATGCTGGCTGCTCTGCACAAATGACACCAAGCACGTTTCACTTTAACAGGATACCACAAACCCTTAAGCAACAGCTAGGCCATTTGCGGGATCTCCATTTTTATGTTTAGTCCACTTAAGGAGGATAACAGCTGCCATCCCAGAGGTCTTTTGGCACATACAGGATGTTTTCTCAAATCAAGAAATATTCTCAATTCTGCCAACTGATACTTGAAAAATGGTTAGTTAAGAGGAGGTTCAGCAGTTGTCATTTTGCTATTTTCCGCCTTTAGAAACACCACACTAAACCCCAACTGAAGATGTGTGATCTGCCAGCTAAAAGCTGTTTATATCAAAGTAATGAGCCTGAGGAGACTGGCAATTAGGAGATTCCTTCCATTTCTCTGTCTACTCAGGGAAACTCAAACTGAAAGGTTATTGGGTAGGCTATTAAAATGCTTGAGTGGGAGAAAATTTAATTGGTTTGGGTAGAGCTTTGCTGTTGACTCAGGACACAGGCTGCTTCTTCAAGTCTAGGCCTACAGTAGTTAAGATGTTCTATCACTCAGGTGATCATATTATCTGTTTATCCAAAGTGCCTCAGAGGTTAGCTTGTCCTCCACACCTATAATTACCACACCAGACAGAAGCAAAACTCTATTATTTTTTTTATGAAAGAAATCATTTTGCTTCTCTGCCCGATAATGAGCTGTTGAATGTAACCCTGAAGACAACAATATCTAGTAAACTTCTGAAAGCCAATTGTAATAATATACTGTGCCAAATATCTAGCACCTATATAGCAACACACGGAAGCAATCAGTAACCTTCATCCTGTACAAACTCATTAGTGGTGACCTGTCTGAGAATGATTTATTGTCAGTATTAATATCCTCTTTGTTTGTTATTGCCGGCTGTGCTATCTTATTGGTTCAGGTTCCAACAAGAGATGTTTGATAATGACTTTGAATGAAAAGTCAATGGCAAGATGTTGGACTCTCTCAAATCCATTATATAAAATCTGTAGCTTTATGTCCCCTGTTGAAGTAGACCATTGAATTTGTTATAGCAGATATGTTTTTAACTCTCTCACTCTGTGAAATGATTCTGGTGCTCAGTCGGAGGGCACAATTTGAGTGTTATATTGCACACTGCTGTGGTTTTCAGATCATTGCCAAAATGTAAATGTATACACTGTACAACTATCATTTAGACTCCATAGCAAGCATGACAGCATCCTCTTAGTATTGTGTTCAGATGTTTTCCATTTCCATAGGAAAAAAAAGCAGCTATTGTGACCCCAGGTTTTTGTGTGTGCGTTCATCTGTGTGCGAGAGTGAGTGAATGGGTGTGATTACCCAGAGGCCTTATCATTACTTACTTACTCCTTTCCCATTAAAAAGGTGGAATCTGCATCGCCCAGTCTTTGAAAATTCCCCACAACCCTAAACTGGAGGATTATGACAAAGCCATCCAACAGCTGCTGGAAACACAGCACTCGCGGGCAGTCATCATCTTTGCCAGTGAAGAAGACATACGGTGAGGAGCGCAGCTCATTCTGGCTTCATCCATGTTGTTCGGGCGCGTTGATGACTTGCCATGTTGAGGTCTTTAATCTCTGAGTAGCAGCTCCTGTAGACAGGCTAGAGGCACAGATTTACCATGCGTGCTACACAAATATACCTCCAACAACACAAACACAAGCATGCCTCAGAGGAGAAGTGAGAATACAGATCACAACAAAACAAAACAGAGATATTGTTTCATTTACAATGCCCCATGGGATATGTTGTAAAGAACACACAGAGTCAAACATTTAGTACCTGAAAACTCTGAATGAATAATCCAGAAGTGGATGTATTAATGGAAGAAAAGAGAAGATGACTGAGAGACATGGACATAAATGATTCTAACAACCACTGTTATATTTGAATAAATGATTAAAAATACCAGTTAATGCAAAATAATAATAGTTTCTCCTCTTCTCCATCGGAAACTGAAGAACTATCTATGCCAGAGCTGTAATGTCCAAACAACTCCTTAAAGCTAGCTGTGCCTTTGTGTAATAGATATTAGATTGCACACACCTCTTGTGCTCTCTCCTAATTCACACACAAATGTCCTTGCAGGGGAGTTCTCAATGCCACCAAGAGGGCCAATCAGGTCGGCCATTTCCTGTGGATTGGATCTGACAGCTGGGGGGCCAAGAGCAGCCCGATCCACCAGCTCGAGGATGTAGCGGTGGGTGCAGTCACTATACTGCCCAAACGCTCTTCCATTGAAGGTACACACACACACACACACACACACACACACACACATTCACTGCACACTTCACATGTTGTATTGTTTTCCACTGTACTGTTTTGTTGACAGTAACTCTTTTGTTTTTTAACCCAATTGTATTTGTAATTACTTATAGACAGAAAACTCACAAAAAACAAATAATAAACCTGCAATAATTGTGTTTTGGATAACTTGCAGGCAGTGAAACAAACTGTGAACACAACACACATTATCTATCACCTTTTAAGCTGATATGACTTGTTTGCAAATAGTTGTATATTTGCAGATTCAGCAGTTACAGAGCAACATTAGCATTCATTTGGAGTCGTGTTTTTGACTACAAGGCAAATGTTAGTCCAATATTAACTCTCCTTTTAGCTCTTGTTTAGCACAAGTAGTTATCCATTGTTAATATAAAAATATTGATAACAGCTGCTTTAAATAAAACATTTTTGCCTTTTATTCTCGCTACATGGAGGCAGCAACAAACTTTAAGCACAACATTGACCTTTTATTTATTCATAAAGTTGTCTTTGTGAATGTGTTAGTAAACAGTAAACAGCCATTATATTCGCATTCATTTAGAGTCACAATTCTGACCATCTGGCAAATGTTTGTTAAATATTCACTCACCTTTTAGCTCTGTTTTTGCTGTCTACCAACAAAAATATCTGTAAATAAATATCTATATATCTATGTACTATTTAAACTAGCTGATTGCTAACTTTGTCTGCTGTTTGGTGTCGGATAGTAGTGTAGTAGTAGTGTACAGTGGGGTTGTCAGAGCTTGTTCATCAGAAAAAGCTGCCTGCTGCGTCTAGAAATAGTGCTGATGAGAGCAGTGAGACTGAACCAAAACGGTAAGCTTGCAGGTTATAAAACCAAAACAATTAGCTAAAACATAGAGCTTACAGGAACTACAGAGTTGGTTGATAATAAGACATTTGCACCCTTCAAAACACTTAACACATTTAGATAATAATAATGGATATATTTGACATTTAGTACATTTAAAGAGATATTTTGTGATGACATATTCTCATCTTCCGTTTTCATGCACCCACAGTTTCACCTGCCTCCTCTATTTCTACTTCAGTCCTCAATTTTCTAAATGTTGCAGAATGACTTTCGACTCAGAGAACAAGTATGACCTTGTTGTTGCATTTGGCTGCCGGGTGTACATGACCAGACTAAAGTCAGTTTGGTCAAATTGGCTACTCTGAAGATTTTATTAGATACTGAAACGAACCAGTGTAAACTGTGTCACCTTTTGGAGTAACCACAGATTTCCTCATCAGTGTATTTTTACATATTATATAGACTGCTGTCTATGGAGAAATTGGTATCATTGTTAAAAGGGACACAAAATTATGGGTCTGAGAAAAAGGGTTTAATTTAGTTTTAACATTTTCTTTAAACTCCAAAATAAATACCATTATCAGTCCGTTTTTAACGTGCTTAGGGTTGGATTTCTCTTGTAAAAATGTAGCTTAAATAAGTCCACCCACAGGAAAAAGGAGGAGCAAACGAGTAAATTAAACTGCTGCATTGTCAGAGAGGACATGTACAAATTCGCCACAGAAATAGAATATTCTCAGCATGCACCATCTATTTTAAGTTCTGTCCAGTGTCACAATCCTAATAACCACTCATCATCACAATCGAGGAAATTTTAAAGTCTGAGTTTTATGAAGCTTTCCTTAATTAGGGGAGGTCTAGCCAGGACAAATGTACACTCTGGCAGCGAGAATATTATTAATCCACCATGCATCATTGATGGTCTTTTGAAAAGAAAATCAGCTGAGTCATTCTTCTCTGATTAGCCATTATCACCGCTACCCACGACTCAGCTGATATGACTGGATAACCGAGAGTGGAGACGCAGACAGAGAGACTTTAAAATGTGAAAATTCAGATTATTCTCCAGACAGAAAATTGTGTTTCTTTAACAAAAAGTAAAAAAAAAAAAAAACTGCACCATGAATCTCACTGTGAAGTTTTGTCCCAGCTCAGTTTCCTGACCCACATTGGGTGGTAAAGTTGCACAAACAAGAGAACAAATTTTAGCAAACCTGGCTTTCTTTTTTCTCCTTTGTTGCAAGTCATCTATCCTCAAGCTAATGCTTCATGCAAGCACCTAAGTCCTGCTGAAATTAGTGTTAAGCTAATACATCATGCCTTCAATCCATCTCTATTGTAATGGATTTCATGAAGTGAAGAAAACCTGTTTGGCACATACAGGACCTTGCAGCCTGAGGCACCAGGCTGCAGCACCACTTACAATCCCGTCGTTATTTATTATGCATCCTGTTTTTTAATTAATGTAATTTCCTAGATGAAAGAAGTGATTAAAGTTCCATGGGGCTGGAGAGGAAGAGGAAGCACCTTGGTCAAATTTTGATGAAGTAGGGCTTGCTGCTGTCCTTCCAACACCTAGCGGCCACCACCACTGTACTGCTGCACAAGTTTCGCTTCATTTCCTTCAGGTTTCAATTGGTTGATAATTGGTCCGGAACTGAACTATTCTCCTCTTTCCTCTATTCACAGGGTTTGATGAATACTTTACTGCTCTCACCCTGGAGAACAATCGCAGGAACGTGTGGTTTGCAGAGTTTTGGGAGGAAAACTTTGACTGCAGACTCCTCAGTTCCTCAAAGAGAGAGGATTCCAGCCGTAAATGCACAGGTACATCAGTTTTGACATGAACAAAGTAGGAACATTTCTGTATTACACTAATATATGATGCATATTTTTGCCCTCCTATGTCAGGTTGATGTGAACTTGACCTTTTGTTCGCATTAGAAGCTGCAGATAGACTGTTGGGGTTTTAATTCAACCCCTCTTGTCTGCAGCACAGCCAGAAAGTCTAACACCAGGTGTTTCTACCCAGCGGGTGCAGGACAAGCAGAGTTTATTATTAGAATAATAATGCACCACGTGTCTTAGTCATACTACAGTTACAGACCGTCTGCTCCTGTGGCTAATGTCCTGTAACTCTTCTTCCCCTATTCCCTCTATTCCCCCTTAACCCAGTCACCTTGACAGCTCAGCACAGTCGTGCCGTGTGTACTAACTGCACAGAGCCAGAGTATACTTTATTTAGGTTGGAAATTACAGAGAAAATTACAGAAAGCTAAGTAAATACTGTTCATGTGCATTTTTGTGGTAGCATTAATGATAGTGTTGTTGCTAACAGCGATGCATACTCGTATTACCTAAACTCTGCCTGCCAACGGTGTGACAGACATGGCACTGCATTTATTATCTACGAGGATGATGCCTATGACGTGGGTTGCTGTATTATTTCTTGCTTGCATACGTGATGATGGTAATGGCAGGGTGACACAAATTACTGTTTGCTGAAGGATTCCGTTCCCTTTATAATCTCTTGTTTGCCGTCTTTTATCATGCGTCAAAGACAGAAGATGCCGACCACTAAGTGAGCCCTACAAACCCTCTGTAAAATGACTGTAAATGCCTTTTTTCTGCTTTTTTCATTGTAAGTGGCTGTACAACTCTCTGTATATTCTTTTTCATACCTCAAGCTGAGCTGATATTTATGAATGTTAAATGCAAACGGGAGTCTTTTGCATTCAAGGGCTGTCGTTTTAGCACCCTATGCAGTACTTTGAAAAGCAAAAAGGTTATGTGTGGGTTGAAACGTATGTTAAGTTCTGAGAAATGGGCTGAAATGTCAGCACAGATTGAATTTGACCTCCTTCAGTTTATGCAAGTCCCCCACATTCTTATATGTTTCCTACTAACATCATCTGCTCCTCCAGTGAGTGAACTATGAACAGCTATCACTGAGGAGAAAATGGTCTTTTAGAATTCTGTGTTATTTCCTTGATGATGCTTCTTTGTTTACTGGGAGCTTGAATATTAAAATTATGATGATAATGATGATGATTATGAACATGATGATTATTATTATTAAAAGTAATAGTAGTATTTGTGTTGTTATAATTTTCATTCACTCTTCTAAGTGCTGCTTTGATCTACCAGGAGTATAAAATAGCTAATTCAATTTGTAACAAACATAAAAACCCAGCAGCGGTTGTACATTACGTATTCAAGCAGTGTATCAGCAGCATGAGGCAAAACCTTTACAGCAGCCCATAGTGAAAGGGCAGTACACTGGGAGGAGACTATAAAAGAGCAGGAAGCCACTGTAGAAGACTATGTTACTAAAGTTCATGGTGATCTTCATCACCTTGCTGATGGGACAAGTGAGCTCTGTTCTTAGCAGCCTATTACTTTGAAATACACCTCAGTAATTCAATCTGAGTCTGCTGTGTTTGTCACAAACACTTTGTCTCACAGCTCAGCTTGATATTTTCCACTTGGGAATTAAATGTGTCTTCTTATTTTCTGTGCCACAATGTACCTTTAGGTGTAATTCCCACAATATCAAAACTAAACTAACTGGCAGAAAATGGTAAATGTATGAATAAAAATAAAGCTGGAGATGATATGCACTGCTGCGAGGATGTAATGTCTAATAGTTTATGGTGCATTTGGCTGTAAGTCCTCCTCTTCCTTTCCTCGCCTCAGGCCAGGAGCGCATCGGGATAGACTCCAAGTACGAGCAGGAAGGGAAGGTGCAGTTTGTGATTGACGCGGTGTATGCCATGGCCCACGCTCTCCACAACATGCATAGGGACTTATGTCCTGATCATCCTGGCGTCTGTCCACAAATGGAGTCTGCTGAAGGAAAGACTCTGCTGAAGTACATACGCAATACCAGCTTCAACGGTGAGTGACACATTATAAAAGTCTGCAGTCAGATGTGTGGAGAAAAAAGTAAAATGAGTTATATTATTACTTAGGCAGAGTTTTGGAGGACATTTTATACTGACTGTAGCAAGCAAGTTAAATTAGATTATAGCTACTCATCATCACTGCAGCTGTACTCTATTCTACTGCTTCGTTAGAAGAATACAATAAACTGTAGATTAAAGCAAGATATCATATAAGAGAATGTATAAGCTTTTAGGAATTTATGGATGAACCATCTATGAATGAATTAAAACAATTATGTCACACTTTTTTATTAGCTTAAATTAGCTTACTGACCCTAGTACCGTATATTAGTTAAAGTTACCATCTGGGAAATATGCTTTTTTAATTTTTTGAGTGTTAGATGTGTAGATTGATACCCTTCTTATTTCTGTGCACTAAATATAAAGCAGCCTAGCCTAGTACAAACAGGGGGGAAACACTTAGCATGGCTCAACCCTTAAGCTCACTAATTAACAAGTTTTGTCTTGTTTGTTCATAAATCCGTACAAATAACAGCTTTTTATGAGTCTGATTTTGTACAGATTAAACAAATAAGATACAATGTGTTAATGCTGGTAGGTGGATTTTTAACCATTAGACAGAGACTAGCTGTTTGCCTCTGTTTCCATTATTTATGCTAAGCTAAGCTAACTGTCTCCTGTTGGCAGTTAAACATTTACACTACAGGTATCAATATTCTCATCTAATTCTCAGCAAATTGCTTTAAACTTGCAGGCACACATCATATTGCCCCAAATATACACATTTTAGCTACCCGTAGCACATTAATGTTAGCATTAAGCACAAAATATAGCTGATCCTGACAGGCTTGAGTCTGAGGAGGTATGAGCTCATCAAACATCAGAAGAACAAGTGATATAAGCTGTCTTTGTTGCATCAAGCTTCTTATCTAACTTTCAGCAAGAAAGCAAAGTGTATTTCTTAAAACGATACTACATGCTACTACTACTCAAGTATTTTACTTAAAGCTGCTGTGTCCACACCCATCTCCAAGTATAATTCAGAGTGCAACAAAATTCTGGACACAAGAGAATCATCTCAGTTTCAGACAATAAAAAATAGGCAAATAAGAACTAAATACATACCTCCTCTGTTTCATGCAGCATGTGCTTGTGGGCTACACTACACTTTAAAATTTACATTCAGTTTCATTCATATTTCAAAGCACCACAACATTTTCTGGATCTGTGGAATATGATATATTATGGGTCTGCCAGTACTTGAACCTCTACATTATTCAGCCCTGTACAGAAAGTGATGTGAAAGATACTTAACAATTAATGGCAAATAGCTATTAATGACAACTGCTCTACAATGCAGAAGTGAGTGGAGGAAGAGAGCCAAATGGGATATGAGTTTAAAACAAGAGAAACCTTTGTCATTACAAATGTGCTGGCATGTATGTCAGCCAGTGATCATTAGAGACTCTTTTGAAGTACATTGTGTCTTCACAAAATATGTTCTAGATAAGATTCAGCTGTTTAAAGTAAAGAATCAGCGTAATCTTCTCACAAAACTGGCCTACTTTTAGAGGTGGACCCAGCTCATTGTCATATTGTACTAAAAAAGTACTAAAATAACACTCTACTGTGTGTGTGTGTGTGTGTTGTGGGAAAAATGTACTTGAATGTACTTGGAGAGACATCTTGTACAAACACTTAACTGAAGGTCCCAGTGCTTTATTTAATTTAATTCTTTATTTTTTGCATCATTTAAGTGTATATTTCCAAAACAAGATATAAACTACAGTCTAATAAACCTAAACATATTAAATGTCTGAAAAGGAGCAGGGAGAAGAAAAATCTTGCTTTAATGCCTGGTTAAATGAATACATGAAAAGGTAACATAGTGCTACTATAGATCGCCTGCTAATGAAATACATTTTGCTGTGAAATAGGAACACTTTAAAAAAGTATTTTTGTCATTAAATGCATTTTCTTGTACCTGCAGCACATCTCTAGTCTTTACTTAACTTGATTTAAGCCCACATCTCTAGTGCCATTAGTCATCAACAGCGGTAGTACTTGAGGAATTTGAACGTGACATTTCTATCCTTAGAATAAGACTGAATTGCCATTTCATTTTACGGCGTTATTTTGTCATGTTAGCCGATTTCGTCTTGGGAGGTGGGGTTTTCTTTTGTGAGTGACCTCCGTCCTGTGGAAACATTTTCAGTCAAAACAGAAGTTTTCCCCAACAGTCTAAAACATCTGCTCATTTAAGAGTTATATCTCTAAGGCGACTTGCAACAACCTGTACAGCTGTGTCAGTGTCATTCATGCCTGTCCCTTTTTTTTTCATGGATGTAGCTGGTTGTCTGGCTCCTGTACAGGAAGATGTCTTCCCCATTAGTAATAGTGCCTAAAAAGCTCTGATTGGCTCAGTTATTTTCCTACCAACAACAAAGACCTATTTAAAAAGATGTGCGCAGCGATTGAGCCTAGTGCTGTTTACTGGAATTAATCTGGTGAAACAATACGTATCATGATACAGGCCCTTCAGTTCAATACTGTGAGCAAGTTATATATTGCAATTTGAAATCAAATTTTAGGAAAACACATCACCATATGCATAAAATCTGATTTAGTAAAAGTTAACTTAACAGTGAAATCTGTATTTGTATGATTCAGCCTGTCAAATTTCTACAAATTTCTTTTGTTATTGTCAATACTTTGTGTCTTCCCTACCACTGTCTGTGTCTGTCCTAAGCTCATTCCTTCCCACTGAAGATTTAAATCTTTAGAAATGGGTCATAAATGTATCAATCATTTTCTATAACAGCAGGGTACTGACATTTTTTTACGTTAATTGTTAATAAAACAGGAGCAAATTGTGCTTTTGTTTGGGATTAATTTCTGCTGCGGATTAATACACATTTGCTGTGCTAGCGTGTATTTCAGCAGCAAGACTTGAAAATAACAATGACCTTGTTTATCATAATAAAGGGATGGGATTTTTGATGTGTTTTTAATATCAATATCATCATGCTCTAAAATGATATTGATCCATTAAAAGTTTGTTCCTATGCACTTTTTATAAATTGTTCATCACTTTGAGCAACACATTTATCATATTTAACAGGGCAAATAACTCTTTACATTTACTTTTATACAAAAACATACAAAAACAAACTTCCGTCAGCAATCTTAACGCTAAAGAGCTGCCTGCCTTTCTGTCGCTATGGCAGCAGTGCAGAGTTCCAGCAGGCAAGAAGCCTTCAGATTTTAAGGTGGAACTAAAAAAACAGAATATATGCAATTGCCTGAGCAGTGCTGAGATTTCAAGTAGACCTTAACTAAGTGCAGATTCATGCATGGGATTGAGAATCTGCTGTCCAATCTCAATAACCATCTGGGCCTGTGCTGACTTCCATTTACCTCAGTGTGGCACTGACAAAGAAAGAGGTTCATTTCACCTGAGCCAAAAATAAGATCTCTACTTTCTCTATCACCTCTACCTCTTCCTGTCTTGCTATTATATACTCAAACCTTTTTACTGGCAAGCAAAGGTTGTTGTGTTGTGGCTCAGGCATATCTCACTGGCCCTTATTGCATTTAGACTGGAGCCATGCACATTATCCTGTGTATGTGCTGCTGCTAATGTATGTTTGAGAGCGAAGGAGTGTAAGCCTCCTTTGTTGATCTCCCCACTGCGCCCGAGTCACGGAGCTGAGGAGTGAGAGGCAGAAAAAAAGGAGAGAATAATGATGCGAGAGAAACACAGCAGTGGATCCCCAGTCCACCCACACTGCTCGGCGCAGCACAGCAGCAGTGCACTTTTGTCATGTCTTAGTTCAGAGCCACATGCAAATGCATAAATCTTTCATCTTAGACAGCGCTCTCACTAAGGAGTCTACACAGACCATTTTGTTCCCTTGAAAATATCAGGCAATAGAAAATACAAAGGAATTTCTAATGCCTTTTTATCTGCACACACAGAAACGGCACTTAATTATTTGCTCTAAAGCTGAAGAGCGCCAAGTGCCCAATCACTCATGTCACTTTACTGAATGACTCTGTGTGTTTGTTTATTTGTGTATGTTTTTGCTGGGGCGTGGAGTAAGAATGCTAACCCTGTCACTGCTTTTGCTCACAGGAGTCAATACCTTGTCAACATCTTTATACACTGTGTCAACAAGTCTACTGTCGGTTTGGTGAAAGTAGAAGTGACAGGACGGTGACTGCCACCCACCGAGTTTTAGTTTGGTTTTCATATTGAGACGGTTTTCACTGTGAGCTTTACAAGTACACTGGAATTCATTCTGAACACGCTTTATTTTCTGTGCCAACGCACATGGATACCGATGAATTAGTGTTCTACGACCAATGGGTCAAATGACTCCAGTGGTGCCATTTCTGTATTGTTAATGTGGAATATATGTGCCATCACTTTGCATAACAGCAGATAGTGAGGGATTTGTGGCTCTGCATCAACATCGAAATGGCCACTTAAGGTTTTACAAGCTGACATTTGTAATGCACAATGGTGTCACAAAGTCAAAAAGGAAAATTTGAGTGCTGGTCCACAGTGTTTTATTCAAATGGCCCCCTATCATGTTGCCTGAATTGGGCTTTTCCTCTTTCTCCCTGTGCCTTTCTTGTTTTACAAGAGTCTTTTGGCCTGAAACTTTTGTAGAATGTTCAATGACAAATGTCCTTGGAAGAAAAAACTGGAGGGAGATGAAATTCCCTTCTGGCTGAAAACTAAGGAAAAGGTGCAGTGGCCTTCCAACCAAAAGCCACAAGCTCTGTTCTAGATACAAAAGACAACATGTTCCCAAAAGTGTTTTGGACACATGCTCATGGTCTTTTCTCTACACTTTTTATAGCCACAGCTATTAAAGTACTTAATTCCCATGCCAAGTGTCATCAGACTCCCCCCGTCCCATTTCAAAAATGGTATCTCCACTCGTGCTCATGAGCTACTGTATGCAGTGCCAAGGTGAATAGACCTGTAAAAATGCAGCAGTTTTTCGTTCTCTCTCAGCATTGTGGGATGGTAAAAATGACCTCATCAACAATGCAGACCTCATGTATAAAATAAAGCACAACCGTTTTTCCCATTAATGCCACTCAACATTCAACGCTACTGCCAGGGAGATCTGTTGTTGACTGACATCTGCATTAACACACTACCTCGCACACACTCTCAGTCATGAGACTCGTATAATTGAGTGATGTAAACACGTCCACAACATATACTGACAGGTTCAAGAGCTCGCACAAATGCACATTTAAAGAACTCTTTTTCCTCATGCATAATGTTTGAGGTGTCCGCAGTCCTCTCTGAGCTAATTAGTGAAATCTTCAGGGCTCTGCTTGAGACAGGCTGCTACACACTGAGAGCAGATGGGGACCGTATGATGCTTTGGCTGACCTGAGAATCCTCCCTATATCTCCTGTTGTTGTCCGCTGTGTGACGGACATGCATTACTGAGGAGGTGTGCATACATTTGAAATAGCAGCGAATATATATTAGAGCACAGCTGGGACTTCACATATCCAACCATGTTTTGAATGTGAAAATATATTCCTCTAGTGGCCGTTGTGCAGCTGCGATGATTCATATGAAGCAGGTGAGGAAGTGCTATATTGGTCAGTAGGGAGTTTGCTTCCCTTCCCGTGATTTTCATAAAGGTTCAAGATATAGGTCATTGTGTTTGCAGGTTTTAACTGGGAGGAATTGACTCAAACGCACTGTGGTCCTTTGTGTTGTCCTTGTAGGCCACCGCACAGTAAGAGGCAAGGGGTTAAGAGTTCATGTTATTCTTTTGTTGGAAGAGTTGCTTTACTTTGTCACATCAGCGTGTGTCTAACACTTTACCATTCTAATGTCATTTTGCTGCATTTTCTCTCTCTTTCGCTCTGTACAGGCAGTGCTGGCACCACTGTTGTGTTTAACAAGAACGGTGATGCTCCAGGACGCTATGACCTGTTCCAGTTCCAGATGACCAACTCCTCCACCCCAGAGTATAAGGTGGTAGGACAGTGGGTGGAGACCCTCCAGCTCAGGGTATGATGATTTACTGGTACTAGGGAACACACAGACGACAGACACACACAATGCCAAATGTTGTCTAAATGCTAAAGATTTATAAGCGTGAAGACTTCCCGTGTTTTCCTAAATTGAAATCTCTTTGTGAAAAGGGGGTGCACATTATTTGCATCTCAAATACGAAGAGAGCTCAGGTGCAGGCATGTTTTGCTTTCAGTCTAATTGATGTGTTCTAGGTGCAAAAATGAATCTGTTTGTGTAATTTAGCAAGAAAAAGGCAGTGTTAATCTTTACTCAGAATATAAATGTTCAAAATTCCTCAGGTGTAATATTTTCCTCTGGCGATGAATAGGGAAACACACGCACATCTCAGTTGATGTGTTGCCTACTAATGTTAGTCCCACAGGAAGTTACTTTCAGACTTTATTTAAGAAGACAAATGTGTATATTCATAATTGAAACATAATTTTATCAAAGGTTATCAAATATCCCAAGGGTTTTAAGAAAAAAAAAGTGAGGATTTTAAGATCAGTGTGTGAAGGTGAATAAAATGTGATAATTTTAGATCACAATTCACAATTTGTATGCTATTAAAAAGACGTTTGATATGTTTCTAGACTATAACATCAGTAAGGGTTTTGATTTGAGAGTTCAACATTAAAAAGAAGAAAGTACAAAGAAAACAGACAATGATGTTGCTCCGTTGTTGGAGATCACTGCATAGGTTGGAGGGCTGACGGTGAAGGCGAGTGGGAGGAAGTGTTTTTAACCCAAGTGTCAGACTGTATATGTTCAGGATTTGGCAGCAGAGAGCTGCGGAAGATGTTGATGTTGTTGGAAACTGACACCTCAATACACACCTACCATGTTACTCTTGGTGCTCGGTAGCTTTCCTGCAGGTTTTACTGTACATGATGAAACTCAAAATCTATGATCCCATTTTGTCAGACGTAATTTAAGGTACACCCAAGAGAGCAAGATAAATCATATGAAAGCTCTGGGTACTTTATAGGAAAAGTGAAGGATTTTAATAGGAGAATGTGTGAAAATGTAATTTATTTTTCGCATATCCAAAAGATAGTAGAACCCATGGGATAAGAACATGGATAAGGCATTATTCATTCCATGCTAACTTTAAATAACTTTAATTCACCTACAAAAAATACTGTCTAATATTAGTGTTGGGTGTAGAGCTGGAGACAGCTGCTGTGCTGCTTTTCTAAGTGTAAGGTGTTGGTTTGTAGCCACTGTAATAGATCTCACTGTCACAACACTAGAATGGGCTTGGGTGATTCATGTGGACAATAAAGAAACATCGTTTGAAAATTGCCCATACTGCATGATAGGATGAAACCTGGGCTAAAATTTCTAGGTATTTCTATGTAACTGAGATTACAAAAACATGATATTTACATATGGATGAGTTAACATTTGCATAATGGCACTCTGGATCACAAGAATTAAACTCAACCCAATGGATTTGATAGCACAGGTGGAACAACGTTTGTTGCTGGAGACTTCTGTTTTAGTGTGATTACAAACCAAATGCTGTTACAGTGCAATTATATTCCAATGCAATAGCTATTTGTTCACTAACACAGAGCAGTTTAATTTAAAGGTTACCCTGGAATGATGATTTGTGATCATTGGTAAAGAAGTACAATGTAATGCTGTTCCAGCTGTCTAAAGCTCAAATTAATTGTAAAAATTAACAACTAAAGCAAAAGCCCAAATGAAAAAACGATGGCATCTGTATGAGTCCAAGGTGTCAAAAACCTTGCTTCTGGTCTCCATAGCAACAGAGCTGTTGGTCTCATTACCGTTGCCACACTGTGTGTAATCAGGAGGTTTTCCAGAGAGCACCATTCATTGTCCAAATAACAAATGGCACCTTCATGCCCCCAGATAAATGGCAGATGATAATCTACCCAGACACCACAGAAACAACACATTTGTCATACAGGTACACGCAACAGAAACACACTGTAGGTGTGTGTGTGTGTGTGTGTTTTTGCTGCAAAGGTACAGCTCTGTGTCTGCAATTATTGACAGTTGCCACATTTGGAGGAAGCAATGCTGTTAGTATCCTCAGCTGGACTCATGTTATATGTGAGGATATTTGTAACTAGTGGAATGTTTTATCTGCCGGTATTTAGTAACATGAGTTATGTGTGCACACTCACATTTGTTTGAATTCCATTTCACACCACAGAAATGAAGAGGTGAGGAATGAGAGAAATAGTAATTTTTTTTAAAGGAATATTTTGGCATTTTAAGGAATATTACTTATTCATGCCGGGAGTCACAGCCGGGTCACACTGCTTGCCTGAGCAGTGCCCATGTGTTGTCGATACCACTCTAATGTCTCTAAGTAAAGAAAAAAAAAGGTTAGCTTAGCTTAACAAATAACCCACCTACCAGCCTCTCTAAAGCTCACTAATTACCGCACTGTATCTTCTTTGTTCAATCTGTACAAAACTGAAGAATAAAAACTGGAAGTTGTGGTTTTACAGGAGGTTATTTGCCAGATTATTTCTCTGAGTCTGGCAATAATCATGACATTGCTAGGCAACCAGTGGCCATTTTTTGTACGGATTAAACAAATGAGACATAACATGCTAATAAGGAAATTTGTATCAATCTTCTCATCTAAATTTTGGTAAGAAAACAAGTAAGTGAAAAGTGACCAGTGGTATTCTTGTAAGTCATGTTTAAATTGAGTGTTACTCAGAAAATCACATTATGTGTCTTTAAGAGAACAGATATATTGAATCTTGCAGTCTTGGCTGGTACATTGTTGTGTTGCTTGGCGCATTACCGCCACCTGTAGATCAATGATGTGAATCTATTGACAGAACTGTGTATCGCATCAAGAGCATGTGTTTCCTTGTGAACATACATGAGACAAACAAAGCAGGGACACACATTAAAAAACTGCTCCGTAGCGTTACTAGATGACAAAAACTCCACAGGGTACCTTTAGCTCACAAATTCACTTTACAAGGCATAATACACACTAAAATATCACTAAAATTAATTCTTCTTCATTTCTAATATAGTTTTACGCTATGCTGTTCTGATTTTAACGTAGGCTGTTATACACTCATTGTCCCAAAGCCCCTTTTAAACATGTCATATCCGAGCAGTTTTAGATGACAATAAAATCAATTTAATTTAGTACCACTCAAATCTTTTTTCTTTTTGTTTGTTGGAGTCCAAGTAATTTACTTTGGTTACTTGGCTGATATATTTCTGTGAAACTGCCTAAACCATGTTGGAGTATCTTTAATCTTCTGATGCTTTTCAAGCCATGGATCAGTGGACTTTCATAATAAATCAAAAGATCAGCTCCGAATATTATCCTAGCTTTTTTTAATGCCCTAACAAAATTTGTAAGAGCCCTAAAAATTCCATTTCTTCACAGCTTTTTACAGGCTGACTTGTATGTTGAGACTATACTGTAGTTTGAGCTTAAATCATGAAACACCTCAGGGCCTTTTTGGATAGGGGTTTTGATAGTTCTTCAGTGCGTCTGTACACTGCACTTTTCATTTTGATGACATGATCATAAATAGAAATAGCTCTGCAAAGTCTAAAAGAGGCATTTTGCAATCCCAAATCCCATTCTCCTTCCTTATCATCACATATTTCATACCTCAGTGGCTCCTGTATTAAAACATAATGTCTTTTGCATTTCACATTTATTTATTTTTATTTCACTGAACAAAGGTAAGCTCTGTTGCCATGGTGATTTCAATTACTTTCAAGTATTAGAAAAGTCAATCCCTGGAAGAAATTGGCAAGAAAGCTGTTGTACTGTATTAGGTTAATCGTTTATTCAACTGCATTTCAATTTTTTTTAGCTATTTGCAAAGATTGCCTTGTACTTTGTTTGTGCAAAGAATGTTACTTCATGAAAATCATAATATAGTAATTATTCACCAGTTAATAAGCTGTGTCAGAACATATTCATAATTTCTCATATTCAGTGGTACCTCTGGCTTATCAGCCTGTTGCTAACCCTCTCTTCCTGTGCTGTCATCTCTCTCCCAGCTGGAGGAGCTTCAGTGGCCAGATGGGGAGCAGGAGGTGCCTATCTCTGTGTGCAGTCTGCCCTGCAAAACTGGAGAGAGGAAGAAGAGGGTAAAAGGCATGCCGTGCTGCTGGCACTGTGAGCTATGTGATGGCTACCAGTACCAGTACGACGAGACGTCCTGCAGACTGTGTGCCTACAACATGAGGCCCAACCCCAACAGAACCGCCTGTCAGCCCATCCCCATTGTCAAGCTGGAGTGGCACTCACCTTGGGCAATTATTCCCGTCTTCCTGGCCATGCTTGGCATCATTGCCACCATCTTTGTCATGGCCACCTTCGTACGCTACAACGACACGCCCATTGTGCGGGCGTCGGGCCGAGAGCTGAGCTATGTGCTGCTAACTGGCATCTTTCTGTGTTACATCATCACCTTCCTCATGATTGCCAAGCCTGATGTAGCTGTGTGTGCCTTCAGGAGGATCTTCCTGGGCCTTGGCATGTGCATCAGCTACGCCGCACTGCTCACCAAGACCAACCGCATCTATCGAATCTTTGAGCAGGGCAAGCAGACGGTCGCAGCCCCGCGCTTCATCAGTCCCACTTCCCAGATTGCCATCACTTCCAGTCTGATCTGCGTGCAGCTGCTGGGCGTGCTGGTGTGGTTCGCCGTGGACCCTCCAAACACCATCGTCGACTACGATGAGCAGAAAACCATCAACCCCATGCTGGCTCGTGGCGTGCTGAAGTGTGACATCACAGACCTACAGATAATCTGCTCATTGGGCTACAGCATCCTTTTGATGGTAACCTGCACCATCTACGCCATCAAGACTAGGGATGTACCAGAAGACTTCAATGAGGCCAAACCCATTGGCTTCACTATGTACACCACTTGCATAGTCTGGCTGGCCTTCATCCCGATTTTCTTTGGCACAGCCCAGTCGGCAGAGAAGGTGAGTCATTTCTTTCTCTTTTGCCTTCTCTCTCTCTGTCACCACCCTTCTCTTTGTCTGTCTCTCTCCCTCCTCTAAAAAAAATTCCCTTTCATTCCTTCGGCCCTGTTTTTATCTTGTCCAAACACACAGCGCACATGCATATTTGTACAAACACAAAATGAAAACACAAACAGTGTGTTAGGGAGAACACACACACACACACACATAGTGACTGTATAAGTTATGGGCTCATTTTCTTTTGATTTCATATTCACATAGCTCTGATGTGCGTGGAAACCTACACTAGGACCACCACAGACAGAAATAGGCATGTAAAAGCGGAGGAAGGGTTGATGTTAAGCACCAGAATCCTGAAATGCCTGAGGAGTGATACAGATGGGGGTGCCGGCAGCTCCAGATGCCATTATCTTAGCTCTCACGCCTAGGGCTCAACATATACTATTGTGCCATATTCAGGAGAGGGAGACAAGCGAGTTTGAGGAGGTGGAGGAAGATGAGGGTGAGGAGCTGGAGGAGGAGGAAGGCAGAGAGAAATGAGGGGTAAATAGAAGTTTGATTCAACACATTCCATCTCTTGACAGCTGCGCTCTACTCAACAAAGCATTTGACATTGGGTGCTACTGGAGTTGATTGAGAATCTGACATTTTGACCTGATGTGCTAGTCATTGCTTATCTGGCCAGCACTGGGCAGAATACAGATGCATTCATCTGCTGGACTCACGAGTTGCGTGCGCTGCTTGGCAAGCCGCGTGTACAAGGCGGCACGGAGGGGAAGTTTTCCACTGACAGAATATCGATGCCGACAGGGAAGTGTTACTCCTAACCTTTTGAGAGGCACAGCGTTCAATATCCTTCCTGCTAAGCTACGGCATGAGATGGATCAGAAACTGATTTTCCTCATCTCAATTTGCTGCTGATTTCATAGATGAATTACACCCTCAGCAGCGATTAGGAGTTCATTATGCTACTCGTGGCGACTAGCGAGGCAGTAATGTGTTTATCTTTCGCCTTTATGCAGTTAACTCTTTCTTTACACCCGCTCCTGCCTTACACTCACCTCCAGTTCACACCACAGCATTCTGGTGTAATGGCCTATATGGGTGCCTTAACGCTTACTCCCTAGCCACAGCTAGTGAGAAGTGCCTTTGCATGTCTTGATAACATGCTTTGCAAATGCTTCAGTGCAGTTAAGGTGAAGCTATCTTATCCGTTGTTTCAGCTAATTTATACTTATACCCTCACATTTGTTGCTGGTAGGACTGTATTCCCCTCATGAATTCTTCACTAAAGATTTCGGTACAAAATACAAAAACAAAGCGTGTATATCTGCATGTGAATCAACTGTTGGAGGCTAAATGTGATCCAGCGTGATGCATTCGACTGTGTCCTCACTTTATAAGCACCTTGCCCTGTTGTGTTTTTAAGTGCAGATGTGGTCAAACACCCACGCAGATTTGAATAATCTCTCTCACCCCAGGTTGTCCAATATCAAAAGATTTATGAAAACACTGAGATGATATGATATGATGCCAGCTTCCAGTGATAATCCAAAACAATCCAGATGGCCGTTTGGCCTTGTGTTGTTTTGTTGTACTGTATTGTAGCAGAAGTTGTGACTGCAGTGAGTGGAATTTCTTTAACTGAACATCATTTACATGCCCCTTATTTTCCACACCTGTGACTCCCTCGCCCCCTCCCCCTTTTTTGCCCATTCAAACTCATGTTGAGGGAAGCCATGCGAAAATGGTAACAAAAGATCACAGAGCATCCCCCTGCCTCCTGTGCACCTGCATGTGCTCAGTCAACTACTCAACACTCTCAAGTTAATTACTGAGAGAGTCACCAGCATCCAAATTCAGCTGTCCTCAGGCCTGGAGATCAACTGACTTTTGAAACAAACACCAGGCCTGCAAGGCACTGTTCAGACAGACAAAAGAAAAAATGGTGAAAAATACTGTTAACATACATGACTGGGAGTGTTACTTTATTAAATTTAAGGCATCTTGCCACTGAACATGAAAACTCTCTTATTTGGTAACATCTTTGACCACGAAACTGGACGTTTTTTACATTTCTCAGATGAGTTGGATGATGATATAATGTCACATTTTTCCAGAGGCTCAGAAACGTTCTAGTAAAACACACAAGATCAGTCACACAAAAAGAACTCCATGTCATGAAAATATACATACCTCAGTACATGTCTAGAAACCACTTAGGCTCTTGTAAGATGTCTTCTGTACCCACAAGCTCTCTTGAAAAGAGGCTGTGCTGCCAAGTATCATTAGCAATGACTAACTATACTTTGTAAAAACTTTCCCATCCAAGCTTTCAGCAGGTGAAAGAAAAATTGCAACTTCTAATCCTCCTGTCTCTCTGCAAACAACTGCACTTGACTGGAGTTGGACTTGACACTTATTGCAAAGCTGTGGAGTCTTTTGAAAATAATATGTGAAATTCTCCTGCCTATCAGATGTTTTATGCTTGAAACCTTGAGTAGATTGCACCAGAGGCAGACTGCAGGCAAAAGGCTAAAACTGGTCACGAGTAGTGGAAAGAAGGAAAGATAGTAGTTTTCATTTTGAAAATGGATGTTGAACATTTACCAAAATGAAGAGAAGAGATTTATTTATCAGATAGGAGAGAGTGTGACGTCGCTGTTTTACAACACACAGAGCCAAAAAGCAGAAATGATGGTGACGTTTTGTATTTTTCCTGACAGTTGCGGTTTGGTTTGCCAAGATAATACATAGGATGCCAAAACTAATAAATAACTTAAAACTTAGCATTTTATTTACCAATATCCATTTACATAGAAGACTTTAAGTAAACACTGGCAAGGCACTCGTCTGGCTTAAAATGTATGCAAATTAGAATAGAAGTTAATTTGACTCAGCTGCGGGAAATTATCATATCAGCCTTATCCAACCACATTGTTTTACAAAACATGCCACATTTTTTGCATGTATTGTATCAGTGTTGCACACACAGCAAGGATGCTAGAAATCCTCTTGTGCGCTGTGGCACGCCTCTCCACAGAGAACATAAAATGTTATACTTTATGTTCCATGTAGGTGGGAGAAAATAATAATTTCTGTATTGTCACCCAGGAAATACACCATAACAATTCACATACTGTATGTATGAACACATCTCTTAGTTACTGTAGCTCTGCTATAATTAATAATAACAAACAAGATATAGATTGTACCTGTTGTAATTAAGCTGAGTTGTCCCAATAAGTTAATTTAGTTTTATTGCACTCTTACTAAGCAGCCTTGTCTTGCGGCTTATCTTAATGGTGTTGTCTAATGAAGATAAAAGCGATCAAAGTTTGATTTGAGCAATCAGAGTTTTGATTACTGTTTAAATTGTTGTTTTTCACAGTATCATCACAGATGCGAAGTTGATTTTCCCCGTTGCAAAAAAGTGTAACATTGTGAGGACAGCAGTTTCTGCAGAAACAGCATGAGTTTTCTGCACCAGCACAAAGTCAGTCATGAAAATGACTCTGTTTTTGTCAATAATAGTATCTTTTAACAAGCTTATTGTCATAAAGCAAAACATATCTCCTCTCACATATTGTTTCTGCCTGAATGTTTTGGGACAAATCTATATAAATTGTATTATTTACTAAGTTCAGAAAGATAATACCATTTTACTCTTACTGCTAAATGGACAAAAAAATCCATCACCCCTGGAATTTTTAGCCAGTCGGTGCTTATTTCATATTTTAAGATGCTGGATAAATACTGGGCCTGATTAGAGCAACAAACGTATCACCAGAAAAAACAGTGTAAACAATGTATTCCAACAAATTGCAACTTCCTCAGATTGTTTTGACTATTAATGACCTGTTTTAACACATGCAGCGCTGGTTATATGTGTCACAATCTCTTCATCTACCAATACTGAAGCCCAGTAATGGGGACTTCCTGTGCAGAGTAAAAATAAAGGGAAGACCATCCACACAGAGCGGTGTCTCCAGTATGGACTAGGGCTTTGCAGCACAAAGCCATACAGAGTTATTCATGACATGAGCCAGGCTAGAAAGTAGGCCACCCAAAACAACAAGAGACATCCAGGTAGTTGAGAGGAGACTGCAAATCCCATGGATCCATTATAGAAGGCATTCTGTAACGGTGCAGAGAGCATCCCAATTGTCACTTACTGAATCAAGTCCTTGTAGCTGTGTGCATTTATAGTACTCAACCATACCCAACTAAATTGCCTTTGCTGTAACTATTTCCCTGGTGAGAATAATTATGAGAATTTCCCTCAACGGCTTTTTGTCCAAGTGGAAGACATGTCGTTTGTTGTGGCAGGATATCGGCATTTGGCTTGTCAATGAGATGTAAAATTCAAAAGCAGGCGTTTGATTCCTGATGAGGACGTTAATAAATCATTACCCCGGCTATAAATAGAGAGTTGCCAAGCAGTTATGAAAATGACTTCATGTATTTATTTATATTAAAGCAACAGGAATTAATTATGAATGTTCTGTGACAAGCTAAACATTCGAGTGGTGGGTGAGAGGGGCTACGAATTTGGGTCAAGCTCATAGAGAGGCAAAATGAAAAACCATGTCCCACTGATTAGAGACATTAGGAAAAAGGGTTTGGTTTGCCGTGTTTATGTGGAAGCTTGCATATCTACACTTTTTTTTTGGTGTGTGTGTGTGTTTGCTTGAATGTGATGAGTATGAGTAAGCACCTCATGCTTATTGTGAGCCTGCTCCCGAATCAACTCTCCTCCATGGTCAGTAAATCAGTTCTGATAGGGTCAGCGTTGCAGTGTCTATGGTATCAGAATCTCATTAAAAGCTTATTCCAGCCGTGTTTAGTTGCTCGCACCAAACTCTGTAGTGTTACTATGGATACCAGACAGGTTAACAACTACCAAACATGGAAACACAGCACAGGGGTGAGAATCTCTTGTGATTATATTTGTTGCCATGTGTACTCCTCACAAACGTTTGATCGGCTGCCCCAATATCTAATCATAAACGCTGCTAATTTGCAGCTCAGACACAGAACGTGCAACATTTCCGCTGTCCCCCAGCTTCGAGTGACAGTGACAGTGAGTGCACGGAGAGCATTGTGATATTTATACAGTTATTAATGCATGGTGCGCCAGCCAGATCACTGCCTCTTATGCTGCTCCACAGAGAAACAAGAGGAGGTAGAGAGAGAAAGAAGCAGTTGAGTGTATTGGCATGTTGATGATATCAGGCATCAGAATTGTTGGTGGAGATTGGAAGACAAAGGCATGACTGGCATGTCAATGAGTCTTTCTTGTATGAAAGAAATTACCATTAGCCGTGCTATTTACCAAGAAAACTGTATGCAAATGGTGACATTTCCTCCTCTCACTGAATCAGTGAACATTTCGCTGCTCTGCAGATACACTGTGGTGGCTAATGTGTTTACAATTGTATCCTCTTCCCAATCCACATCAGTAGTGGCTGACTGGAAGGCAGCATATAAGTGACATCTGATGCTTTCAAGTGTAGTAGATTAGTGAGGAGGCTCTGGTGATCTGCTCTTGAAACCCCTCTTGTAGTGATTCTGTCTCCTCCAAGACCCTTAAGTGAAACAAGAGTCTCTTGCGTGTCTGCTGAATTACTGACTTCACTACCTCTTAGTGAAATCACTACCTTTTAATGAAGTCACTTTATAAAATTTGTGTTAACCTAAATCATAGTGTTATGTAAGCTCGCAATTACAGCTTGACAATGTGAAAGGTGTTATGTAACCTCTGAGCACGTCGTGGAGGAAGCATGTAAGAGAATGTACCTGCGTTGGGCTCACATGAATAGCATTCTTATGAATGATCTTGCCACTTAACGCAGTGAGAGCTTTTCACAGGCTGCACTCCACAGCTACAGGAAAACTAATGTAGAACTGCTGTATACTGCGCTGTTTTCAGTCCATGGAAGAAGTCTTTTAGTGTTGTCTAGGAAGAATTTACACAAAAATGTACCTGGGTACATAAATTGTTTGTGGGGGAAGAAGTAGCTCAGAGGCTGTAGATTGGTCTGATGAATGCTTGAGTAGTGAGATAAAACATCTGATATGAAAGGAAAGGAAAGATGACCACGGACAACTCCTCACCCCGACAGTGTGGTCTGTCAATCTAGGCGAAGGTTCAGGTGGATAGACTTGTAGAAAGGATGCAATATGAGGACATGTTGCTAAAGTCATGGTGATGCCTCTGCTATTGTCATTAATACGCTTGAACCGACTTTGGCTTAACTGAGTAGCTGCAGGTCAGGCTTTAATAAATGCTGCTGGATTATGTTACCGTATGCATGGCTGCTCTTTTCCCCTGCTACACATACACACACACAGTAAACATCCAGACCACCTACATACAGTATCTGATAGTAATGGTAGATTATCAAATACTATCAGTTATCGTCAGGAGGTTTTGTATTATATTAGTATATAAAACGAACATATCCTCTAACGGTAAGGGTCCTTTTGTCATTTCTCTACACTCCAGGATGGAAAAAAGGACAATGACCAATGAACTTATTCCCCTGGATGCTCGTATTTTGTTATCGGGCAATGGTTATTATTAGGTTTTGCTTCATCACTGTGCTCAACAGTGTGACTGTTCTGTAATTGGCCACAGATGTTTTGCCATCATAGCTGTCTTGTCTCTTATTTTTCTTGATAAGGGTTTAAATGCTGCTCCTGACTTATTTGTCTGCCTCATAGAGCTGTCAAATCAAAGTGCATCCCTCATAGAAATTAAGTGTCCATATAAATTAGGTTTGATGTTATTCCAGTCTGTATTAAAACCACTTTTTACCTGTCTGTGCTTCTCTCCAGCTGTACATACAGACAACCACCCTGACCATCTCCATGAACCTCAGTGCCTCGGTAGCACTGGGCATGCTCTACATGCCCAAGGTGTACATCATTATCTTTCACCCTGAGATGAACGTACAGAAGAGGAAGCGTAGCTTCAAGGCTGTGGTCACAGCTGCCACGATGTCATCACGTCTGTCCCAGAAGCCCAACGAGAGGCCCAATGGAGAGGCTAAGACTGAGCTGTGTGAGAACCCCGCTGCTGACCCCATGAGTAAGTAACCCAGTGAGAGAATGAAAAAGCCTCAGAGCTACATACATATGCACCATGAACCAAGCTCATTTACATTAGACCACATTTCAAGTGTTATCTGAATATGTAATCTACTACTTTAAAGCTCATAATGCAGTATTTAATCATTTCTAAAACACAACATGAATGCTTTCTGTTTTGTCACATACTAAATGTATTATTGTAAGTTATTGTAAGTGCAAAGATCAAGCCAACTTATGCACCAGAGTTTGTCTAATTAATTATTAAAGCCAACATCACAAACAGTATTTATGAGTTACAGTAGTCACAGTTACTGTCCCTTTTGTCTACAATTAATTAATAAAGCTTATATAGAGATCAAGTCCTATATATATATATATATAT